AGGTATACACAGTGTGACTTTACAGAAATACATCATAATTTCTATTTGACTTTGTTGCTTTATCATTTCTCTTAAAATGTTTCTATATGGTACCAATCCTTCTTCCACTGTTTGCTTTTGTTTCAGTGCCCACATTACAGAAGCTTCCATGTTGTAAAATATGTCAAAACAGTCTTGAATAATCAGAACGCTTCTGCCAGATTGTCTAATGTCAATTTGTTTCGGTCACTGCTTCTTCTACGTCTTCTTCCTCATCAGCTGACATTGGTTCAGAAGCTCTTCTCTCCATCAAGTTGTCTTCTGTTAACTCCTCTGATGTGCCTGTTACCTCTAGAATGTCTCCAAGATCCCTGTTTTGAAATTCTTCACTCCACATCTTTTTTTTTTTTTTTGCCATATCCACAATCTCTTCATAATTTTCTTGAATGGTGATGAAGTCCATGAAGCTATGCACAACATTTGGACAGTTTTCTCCAGTAGAAATTTGTTTCCTATTTGACAGCTTTTGTGGCTTTTTACATAGCAATGATGGCAACTTCAGTGGTGTAATCCTTTCAGACTTTTATAATGTTCTCTCTGTTGGGGTTCTCTTCCACAGTATTTACAATCCTTTCTATAGGGTAACATGTGTAATGAGCCTTAAATGTCCTTAGGACCCCACATCTAGGGGGTGAATTAGAGACATTGCATTTGAGGTAAAGCAGACCACTTCAGCACCTTCAGTATTCAACTCATGAGGCTCTGGATGACCAAGAGCATTGCCAATTATCAAAAGGACTTTAAAAGGTAAACCCTTCCTGCCAAGGTACTTCCTGTCTTCAGGAACAAAGCATGGAAGAAAACTGTCATAACTTTTCAGAAAAAAAAAGTTATTATTGTTCAGGACTTCTTGTCGTACAACCAAAAGACTAACAACTGTTTTTCATCTTTCCCCTTCAAGGCTTAGGGATTAGCAGTTGTATAGGTAAGAACAGTTCTGATCATAAACCCCACTGCATTTGTGCAGAACAGCAGAGTTAGCCTATCCCTTCCTGCCTTAAATCCTGGTGCTCACTTATCTTCCTTATTAATAAGTGTACTTTGTGGCATTTTTTTTCCAGAATAGGGCACTTTCATCTGATTAAAAACCTGCTCAGGTAGATGTCCTTTCTCCTCAATGACTTTCTTTATGCCATTTAGAACTTTTCCGTTACCTCCTAAGTGGTAGAAGTTGCTTCTCCTGTTATATTGACACTTTTTTGAGGCAAACCTCTTTTGAAAATTTTCAAATTATCCATTAGTGGCATGAAATTCTCCAACTTTAAATCATTCACTTTCCTTTTGCTTTAAGTTGTCATATAATGACTTCACTTTTTCTTGAATCATGTTTTGAGTCTACAGGTATGCCTTTCTGATAGCAATCTTGGATCTACATAAAAGTTGAATTTTCAATATGATATAAAAAGCTATTTCACTAAAAGGACGGGTTTTTGTGCCCAATGCTGTAGCTGCAGTGAGGCTTCATGTCATTCCATTTTTCTGTGACTGTGGGTTTTAGTTTTTGTTTTACAATGGTCCTTGTACTGGATACATTTATATTGAAACAGTGGCCAGCTGCAGAGCTCATTCTACAGTACATATTAAGCAATTCAACTTTGTCTTCTAATGTCATGACTTTTCTTTGCTTCTGGGAGCACTTCCAGCATCACTAGTGGCACTTCATATGGCTCACACAGTGTTACTTAAGGTTGATGTTACAGCACTAAACAGGATGAAAAATACACAGAAAACACAAGGGTTCACTTTTTACCGTGATTCATCACTTACTGGAGAGTGAGGAAAACTACTCACATGGAGATGATGAATGACACGTGGCATTTTAAATAAATACTCTCAACACTTGAGCGTACTGCAATAGCAACAGGAGATGGTTAGAGAATTTTTATAGCAGTGAAGTAAGCAGTACAGTTAATTTTATGCAGTTATGATTTAATACTGCGACTGGGAATGGCATCGTCTAAGGTCTATAAGAGATTCTCTGGAAAGTTTAACAAATTTTAACTTTTAATAATAGATCTGTGCATATTTTATTATAGTAAATTATAAAATCGTATTTACATATATTTTATGTATTCACACTATAACTAACTTTCTCTTAACTTTTTCTATATTTCTAAGCTGCGTAGTTTATCTGCAAGGTTTTTCATGTCGTCACAAATCTCAAAAAATGTTTCCAACACACTTATCGAAAAAACTATGTAGAAGTGGACATGCACAGTTCAAACCTGTGCTGTTCAAGGTTCCACTGTACTTGTAGGAGGTAGGGTTCATTTTCATTGTTCTTATCTCAATAAAATAAAAATGATAAAAATTAAGAAAGCGTACACACACGGAAACACACACACCATGGAAGTTTGTAGCACACTTAACTGATGCCGTTACTCTGATCAATAAGAAAAATCATTGACATGAAAAAATATTGACTTGGTTTAAAACTATTTAGAAATACATGATTTTCTAGTATGGACTGATCGGGTTTTAAAATTGATTTATGTGATCATATTGTTTCATAATCAACAACTCAGGCAGACTTCAGGAAATGACTAGTTAAATCAGTAACGCCATTATACATGCTAAGTGTTTATCACCTGTCAGAAATGTAATTTTGATGACTTTTTTTTTTTGGTTCTTTCACTGGTCTATATATAGGAACTAAAGGTCATAACTGAGCTAGATATGTTCTGCCAGTGTTTCCCGTGGCTCACACACAATCTTAAAAATTGGAAAATTCTATGTAAAAATGTTAGTTCTTGGATTCTCTGGAAAACCAACCAGAAAGCCTTATTAATGCTGGTCCCAAAATTCTGTATGAAAAGTATAGACCAGAGCTGGGGAGCACATGAGTTCTGGGGAGCACATGAGTTTTGGGGTGTTTGGGGAGAGTAGTGCACCAACAACAACTCCCCCCATTCTAACCATCACATCCTAATTTCCTGTCCTTGATACTCTTTAGTCATTTATGTTATGTCTTTGGCTACTGTAGGAATTAAAGTTTACCAAAGATTACTTTATCGTAAGTTCCCTTCACGCTTCTCACGGAATAAGAGAAGACATGATAAAGAAGTCTGAACGGTCAGGGGTAGAAGTTGAATTACTATGAATTTTAAAATGGTATGATTATTTTTGAATAGAGAGGCTACAAAACTACTATCCTAAAGACCTCCAACACTTATTTTGTACTCAGTGTTAAAAAGCAATGATTAAACTAGAGCAAATGAGTAAAAATAATGTACATAATGTATAGCTATACTAAGCCACATGTCTAACATGGAAGATATAAAACATATCATCAGGTACTTGCTTTTGTTTTATAATAGAAAACACTTTATGATTCATTGGCCTACAATAATGGCTATTCCATCTTGGAATAAATCCTTTGGTCTCTTTGGAGTGATCTATTTAAGTCCTCAAGAAAATCATATTTGTTTATTCACAAACCCTGATGAGTTATTATATGCTAACACAGACACAATTCTGTCATGTTCTCAAAGAGACGGTGGGTAAGTATGCAAATATTTATAGATTGTTGTGAGAAGGGCTACA